GACTGAGAAATGGATAAAAATACTCATTTTCATACTGGGTTGTGCTCAATACTGAGCACTGTATTTACCTTTGGCAGCTTGGACATCCTTGTGATACAGTTTTAAACTGAATATTTAACCCATGTTATGAGTTTCTCCTGTCATTTAAAAAATGAAAGCACAAAGAACACAAACTTTTGAAAACTGCTTTTTCAGAAGAATATTTGCAGCTATAGGTTTTTTTTTATGAAAATTCCCTCTTTAACAGTGGTAGGGATCCTATGGCACTCGAGCCACATGTGGCTCCTTGACCAAAATATGCAGCTCTCCAGCTGTCTCCCTTCAATAACAAATCGAAAATACAATTACAATACCCTTTTAATTTTATTTTTACAGCAAAATTAATGAAAACTCCGTTTATAATAAAAGAAAGTTTGACCAATGCAAGTGCAGTGCTGTGGATAAACTTGAATTACAACACCTATAACATATAGGCATGTGCCGGTATAGAATTCCAAAGGTATGATAAACTTAGATAAAAATGAGTAATTAATTACTGCTCTAAAATAAGTTAATGTCAAGGTAAAAAAACAAACAAAATGTTTCCCTTTGAACGCAATCTATCTTTATATTACTTTATATTTCTTTTTATTTCAAGAAACATTTAAAATATTTTGGAGCAGTAAACATGGTGAAATAATTTAAAGGAATGATTGACTTCTGCTGTCTTCATTATAAAACACTGATTTCTTCACAATTTAAAATAGATTTTTGCTGCTGGAGATACTGTTGTCCTAAAAATATAAAAATAAATAAATTAATAATTTAATAAATAAATAAATAAATAAATAAGTGTAATTAAAAAAATATTTAATATACCATAGGAACAGTATAGCAGAAAATTTTGTCGGTTTTAAACCTTGATTTTTCCAAACCACGGTATACTTGAAAACGGTGATCATCCCATGCGTAGCCATCTAATACTACTGCTCCAGAACTTCTCAGAAGTATTATTTTGAAGCACACTGCTGTCATCAATATAAAAGACATAACACAATAAATTCCTTTCTTTATGACGCTCCTGTTGTGGAACACAAAGAAACCATTTTGGAATTGTTCTCTGCCCATTGGAGGAAAGCAGATAATTTAAATTATTTAAAAACATATTACAAACATATATTTAATTTATTCCACTGAAAATAAAACCCTAATATAATTGGTATTTCATAAATGCGATTAAATGATGACAGATTTGTCTCTTGGGTGAACTATACGTTTAAGGTGGATGCAGGTGAGTCTGTTTCAGCGTATTTTGGAAAGCACCATGTTGGCCTTCATGAGTGATCTCGTGACGCTAACGGCACAGCTGTGCTTTTGGGAAACGTGGCCCTGATCAATAGGCATCGAAAGTGATGATATTCCGAGCGCTGCAGCGGGTAATACATATTTTATAGGTGCACATAAAAAGGTGTACGTATCAATTATTAATAAATGATTTTCTGCCGGCATTGATGACGTGCAGATGCATTGTTTGAGGGGGCAGCGGTGATAGGTGCAGTCGGGCCAGGGCGTTGGGACTCTTTCAGTCTGTTGAGGCACATCAAACAGTGAAAGAAGAGACTGTGGGGTGGAGGGGATGGGGTACGATGTCGCTTCTGCCAACGGGGCTTTGCTGAATCACACACACACACACATACACACACACACACAAACGGAGCGTCGTACACTCACGCACAGCACTCAGCTGGCAGGCATAGTGAGTGGCGATGGAACACGCCAGGCTCTGTGCTACCAAGCAGAGGTAATTGGGCCAGATTACCAACCAGGTGGAAACATTCAGTCGCTCTTTTTCCTCTTCTCCCTCTCACTCTCTCCCTCTCTCTCTCTTTCTCTCTCTCTCTCTAGTTTAGTCACTTTTTCTCTATTTTGGAGAAGCGGAGAAAACGCATGCTATTTCGGAAGTTTTAGGACGAAGGTGGAACCACGTTCATTCCTAAATCAATTGATTTGCCATCTAGGCAGCGTATCACAGATAATCTATTAGAAGACACGGAGACAGGTGAAACGCAGAGAGAAAGAATGAGAGATACTAACTAGACTCGAGCGAACGCACTAATTTAAACTACAAGCCCTATCAAAGGCGAATGGCCTGGGGGCAGCAGTACCTCAGTGCAGAGCAGGGAGCGCCGCAGAGGAACGAGTGGACGGGGAGGTTGAGACAGGTTAAGATCAACAGTAGCGCAGACACTGCATTGTTAAATCAGGACTCAAGGCACAGAGAAGCGAGAAAGGAAGAAGTGATATGAAAGAAGGCCGACCGAGGTTTGACAGGGCATACCGGTGCTTTTGCAGGAACAAGACTGCTGTGGCACAAAACTACAAAATAACTCTTTGTAACGCCAAGGGTGAGGGCAACCACCACGTGGATGAATGTGGCCGACGGGTTCCACTTAAGTGAACTACAGGTTGATTTTGATTGCATCTGAGAATAACTAAACTATTGTTTATCTTAATACATCTAAATAGCCTATCTGTATTTTGTCTGACTTGGATTTATTGTTGTATTTTTTTAATGTAGGTTGTGACATTTACTCGTTTCTCCTTAACGTTTATGTTGACTCGTAAGTGTGAATGTTCGCAATAGTAGCCTACATTTTAGAATATAAATTAAATAAATAGGTCATTGAAGGAAAATTAATTAACAAAATGTAACAATTTTTTAATTAATGCACAAACAAAATGGACAAAACATATCGGTGCGAACACGCACACGCAGGCCTACACATAGCCTACATAAACCTACACCAATATTTCATGTAAACAAAAAGTGCAAGGTCTAAAACTTAAATATAAACTACTTTTGTCCCAGTATATCATGTAAAATAATACACACAGTATTATAATGCCTATTCTGTATGAGCAAAATAGACACCTGTGTTGATTAAAAAGCCATAGCGGAAGAACAAGAAATTGATACGAGCGCACACACATAGTTATACACACACACACGTAATGATGCACCTGTATGGCATGAGCTGGCGTCCGCCTTGAGGCAGACGTTACAGACATCTGCTGAGGATATGGAAGAAAGAAAAGAAAGAGAGAGAGAGAGGGGGGGAAAGAAAGAAGAAAAGGAGATCCTACTGTACACATTACCCGCGCGCGCTGCCGGAGCAGCATTTGATGTGCACGCGAGACCTGAGCAGCACAACAAAATCCATCAATCTACCGGCGGTGCGGCTTTTAAATGTATTCAACTCCACGACAGTCGTCGAAGAAAGAGACAATGAACTGATTCTACATTAGAGATGAAAAATAACGACAGGAAAATATGCATTCACCCGAAAGCATATTTCTTGTGGACTTTCGTGGTCCGTCTCTGTGTGAAGCGCTGGCATAGAGTTATTTGTGTAAAGAACAAAATAATAATACTTTTAAAAAGACAGTGGGTGAGGAGGGTATAGCAGCAGGAGGCCGGAGAGAAGGACAGCCGCTAACGACCCCATCAGTACCCGCGCGCATTCACCGTGCGCCGGGGACCATCAGGGTCAGCGAGCGCTACAATAGATCTCGCTTTCTGAAATTTCCTACAACACAGCGAACGACGTGTCGAATTCGAGAGAAAATACATCAGTTGCGACTAAAGTACAGCAAATGTAATGTCTCGAATTTAAGTGGAAATGTTTTACTCTAAAACACAGCGGACATTGTGCATTGTGCCATAATTGGAAATACAATTATATAAATTATACTATATGGAAATACCACATATAAATTATTATTGAATACTATATATATATATATATATATATATATATATATATATATATATATATATATATATATATATATATATATATAAGCATGTAAGTACGTACGATACACACTTATGTATAATTTTTAAAATGTATACAATAAAAAAACTTTATTAAAACTGGGACGTTTTATTTACATGCTGAGCACAATGAATAAAACAATAGGCATCAGTCATTGGGTGGCTATCCCAACCATATGAAACGTAAATATAATATAAAATGACAAATTACATTTTTGTACATTCTCTGAATTGCTTTTTGATTAATAACAAAAAGCTGAAGCATTCACTGATTGACGCATTCATTTGCCCGAATAATAAGTTATATATCTCATTAATAACCAAAATGCAAAGTGTACCTCTATCCCAAAGGTACTTTGAATGCTGGAGACACTTGTTAAATCTAATGCATGCACTGTCAACTCATTCGCACCCCGTCACATCACCGCTCAATATAGAAACCGGATTTTCTGGTATTACAGACGCCTCTTTTAGCACACACACACACATACACACAGAGAGCTACTGACCCTAATCTTGGAGACTTTTCGAACCACAGCGCTAACACACACACACACACACATATATATACACACACACACACACTCTCTCACACACACAAACACACACACACAAACGTATTCACACACCAAAGCTTGTGTTATTAACTTAAAGCAGCTGTGGCAGCAAACCACTCAAAGATGCACCCTAATAATTAACAGAAAATCACAGGGCTTTACTACAATAGATTCTACCAAACAACTTATTTTGAAAAAGATGGCTCAATGAACGTAAACCAAAGAGGACATTCCAGCTTTAAAGTAACAGTTAATTATAAAAAACCTCTATATTATTTATTAATCAACAATAAATATTAAATATAAAATCCAGCTCCCTATAAATAATCTACAGCCTATAAGGAAAATTTCCAATCTGCTTTAATGAAACGCAACCTTAGGATACAAGAAACGATCAGGGTTTCCTTAGCTCATATGTAAGCGTACCTGTTCAAATGTTGAATAAAACGATGTAATTCACACAACTGTGACTATAATGAGTCCATAACAAAAGATTATTTCCAGTAAGTCCTTAATTTCCCGATAAAAAATAAACAAGTGTAACATCGTGCTATAAAGTTAGACTACTTAATTGTGCTTAAAGTGTTTTAAACGCGTCCACTTATCGACAGGAAAGCACACCGTCTTACCTGAATGTGGAGGCATCGGTATATGTGAAGGGTAATATTTTCCAGGCTGAAAGTGACCGGGATGCTGCACTGTTGTGTGCCCGGCAGGAGTGATCCTCGAGGCGGCTCTGTGAACCAGCGCGCCTCGCTCTGCCAGAAGGTGCGGCGGAGGAGCGAAATCCCGGCCTTCCATCCCGATAAAAAACGATAAATCCGAAATCCAGAGCGGGAATCCACGAGAACCTATCCGAACGCCGCCCAGATGTTATAATCCCGTTAAGAGTTTCGCTTAGGTCTTGCATTCAGCACAGTTTTGGCTTTGACGGCCAAAAAAGTATGTCCCGATCATGTTTTCTGCAACACAAAAATCATAAAATATAGTTTAAATTACAAACCAGTAACACTGAGTGAGTGATACAAATCCACGAGATCGTATCATGTTAGTATCCTTTAATGGTAATCCTTCATTGAAAACACCAAGAGTGTACGTCCATTGCTGCGACTGCTGCATAAACACAAATTCTCCTCTCGACTCTCTCATCTCACCACAATTGAGCGAGCTTGCAGCACACCTCCACTTTTACACAGAAGACTCACTGCAGGCTATACACCATTCACAGAGACATGCCAGGATCAATACATTTTTTACAATATCCTCACGCCTATATGGAAAAAAACCAAGGACGTTAAGCAAAAAATAAAAAAATAGGGAAAGTGGACAAAGCTAAATCAGTCTTTCTGTCATTCACTCGACGAGGTGAAAACATTAGGAAAATCTGTACTCGCTGACGTTTGGTACGACGGACTCCATTACAAACACTAATTTATTTAGTGCATCAAACTATAAATGTATTTTATTCTTTCCATTTTGCCTTGATGAAACGGTTTGGTTCATCTGAACTGCATCAGCCTCGTTATTCGGGTACATCACAACGTATGATGGCGTCTATATTTCACCTTTGGCCTCTGGTCCTTATGTTTCTTAAATCATCGGCACAAGTAACATAGTATGATCTAACGATGTTGCAGATGGAGTCTTGTCACGGCAAAATGGTGCAATGAGAGAACTGTCATGCGCTGTTAGTAATATACGTGATTTGTTTCAAAACATCATCATAACATGCTTGCAGAAAGTAGTCTACAACTATTAAAATTTTAAATTGTAAGGCAGTATTAAGAAAGCCCAACAGAATTACAAAATCTTCAGCCAATGGTGCTCTCTTTATCACAATGAGGGAACAGATAATGCAACAAAGACATTTTGATCAAGTTTGAATGTCCAGCTGTGCTTCCCATTCATTCTTAATTCCAAACCATAAACGAAAGACATAGGTCATATAGAGATTTTAGATGTTATATAGGCCTATTGACGTTTCGACTGGTGAATGTAGTGGATGTTTTACGCATATTACTGAACGAGGCCTTAAAACGTTAGAAGTTCCAGTTTGGAGTGTGAGGATGGTTGCGGTGGCAAATTGTTGTAGCTCTATGCTTTCATTAAAAACAAAAAAAGAGGTTGAAGAACAGTCAGTGGATTGGCGTGCACAGCATTAGACCTGTAAGCACCGATTTAAAATAAGCATACGCAAAAAAAATCCTAAATAAGCTCTCTGGTGTACAGAATTATATGCAGTGCACCATTTTTTTGCGCTGACAAAGGACATTTCCTGCAAATATGTATCATTTCTGTGATATCATGAAAAGAAATTGGGCAGAAATTTTAAAGCATGGAGTATTTCAACCCAGTAACCTCCCACTATTAACCAAAACCGAACTTTTAACATTTATTGGGACCTGAGATCTATTAGATTTGGCTCGAAGGACGGATGGGAGGTGAGGAGGAGCACATGAAAGAACAGGTTTCCTAAAGAAGGATTTGAGTGGTAGGAAATGTCCTTTCAAGCTCTGATAAAAGCCAGACAATTGTGTGCACAATTTTATTTCAAATTAAAACACATCTTTATAATAAAAACCTTTACAAATTTAAATTTATTTAACAAGACGATGGTCAGTTATAATTCCACAATGCCCAAAATTAATTTAGCACATAAACTCTATAAAGGTTTAAACGCTGTTATCAGTTGATGTCGATTGCACATCAGATTCTAAACGCATGCTGGATTCAGTCTTTCAAAGAATGTGTAATTGCACTTACATTTTGTATACACTATTAGTCAATAAGACTAATGTATTCGCTATAAATAGAATGTATTAATTATTATAAATGTCCATATTAATTCAGCCTTTCACAAATCAATTATTCTAATAGGTGAGGGTTGTTATTATTAGGTTGTTGTTGTGTTTGCTGTTGTTTTTGTTGTTCAAAGAAAGCAACAGATTAGGATGAAAATTAATATTGTTCTTTCGCCCCCTTCAACATAAGCGCCGTAATTTTTCTATAACGCCAGATGTTCTTTAAAAAAAGTAAGAGCAGATCTTGAAGGCAAATGTTTATTGTTGCACGCATATAAATGTATACAATATAAACGAATTACTTACTGGTAAGTTATTCCTTGCAAAACAACAAATGGCTTTAAAAAAACATGATACAAAAAAATACGCAAAGGAGAGCAGAAGCAGAATAAAATCATGGAAATGGTTACATCCTAGTCTGCTGATTGCAGTGCGTGTGCAGTGCAGAAGTTCGGAGATGCACCGTAGTAGTAAGAGCTTCTGCTGAATCGAGCCCCGTACAAGCAGTCAGAGGCTCTTTCCTGAATCTGCTAGTGCCACTCAAGAAGAAGAGGGGGAGGTGACTGGGGGAGCCGTCGCGCCCATTGGTCTAATACCTACATGTCAATAAGCTCGTGCAGCGCGCCCCAGGATAAACAGTGGCTCCGATTGGACGGCTCTCCGAGCCAATGGCGTGTCAGCTGGATCAACTAAACAAAACGGCGGGCGCTTTATTTGAGCTTTCCTGTCTCGCGACGAGTTCAGTGAGAGGCGCGACCACATGGATACTTATGCAGCCTAGAGTGCCATTATTTAAATGACTTCAAAGACAGAAAGAAATGCAATTATCGCCATTTGTGTTTCCGATTCTGCTTTTTGAGCCAAGACGAAAAGCCATGCAAACATGAACAATTATAACATGCAAAATATATAGATTTTTTTTTTTTAATTATGTTTACTATAAATCAAATTAATGAAATGCAAGGTGTAGCATCTCATCAGTCATATGTAAGTAAAACCAGAACAAAGAAGAAATGTACATCTGATTAAATTAATATTCAATCTCTAATTCTTTAAATTTCCCAGTGATGGGTTGCAGCTAGAAGGGCATCCGTAGTGTATAAGTTGGCGGTTCATTCCACTGCGGCGAGCCCAGATTAATAAAGGGACTAAGCCTGAAAAAAATATATATTTTTTTTAAAACAGCATCATTCGATTTAAAACATGTGAGGTTTAAAAAGATGAGAAGCCAGATCACCAGTAAAATAAACGGTTTTAACCCACAACACGTCAGGATGCTAAGAAGTCACTTACAGCCCAAACTATGGTGAATGGCCAATGAAGGGTTAAAAACCTGGGCCTCGTTCTGAAAACTGTTTGATTGGTTGGCGTGTTGCCAGAGCGCTGTCAATCACAGAATGTAAACAAGGCTCTGATTGGCTGCTGTCCAGTCCGCACTGGGCTGCCTGAAAAAAGCAATTACTGGCCTTGCGGTTTCAAGGCGGCCCAGAACTGGATGATGAAAGGAGATAAGGAGGGGCGGTTTCAAGGCCTCCCCTAGGCGAACCTCGTTGGCCCCAAAGCTAAAGGAGAGTCAAGAGTGACTTAATCAAAGGGAATGCGTTAAAAAGGGGGAAATTACATGTTGTATTAAATTTAAAGTATAGATTCTCGGATTAATATCGCTTAATTCAACAGCAACACGATAATTCTAATACATGGAATCTAATAGAGTAAAACAGGAGAAGGATGGAAATGAAGGCGACCAAAAACGAGCGTGCGTATTGAGGATTTTTTACGATGAAATTTTAAAACTTCACCCTGACTGCTACTTAAAACGTTGAGTGGATATTTAGTAACAGCGGGTAATAAATGGCAGTAAAATATAAATTAACGATTACACGCTTATACGGAAACTGTTTTATGCCGTTCTCTTTTCGATACAAATGCGAAACATGGGTGAGTGGAAAAATAAAAATGATTATCAACAGAAATTACCGAATTATTATTGTTGTTGTTTTATGCCTGTAATACATTCCTTGTTTATTAAAATATAAAAAGATTTTGCTATTCAAATGAGGTTATGTTTTAACCAAATACATAACATATATCATTCTGACTTTGTTCTTTTATTGTTGTATACTCTGCATTATTTTCTTTCTTCATAACCCCTTTAACTTAAACCCGTGAAACTTCATCCACCAAAAGAGAGAGAAGAAAAAACCTTAAGGGCAACTTCTGCTATAGGCCACTGAATGAACTGTAATTTCATGTCTATGTAATGTACGTTTTTTGTTACAGCAGCACAGTTTTCTTGTATATTTGTATAAAACACATCCAGCTTATGCTTAAATATCAAGGATTTTACGTTTTTAAATATTATGTAAAAACAGCCTAGTCATTAAACAGTGTATAGATAAAAGTCAAATGGGCTACATTCAATCAGGACTTCAGTTCCACGTTTAAAAAGATTTTAGATTGGGCAGAACTCACGAGTCACGAGGGCAGTTTGTTTATTTCTATATAATTTAACATACTTTTAAAATAAAACGATAAGTCATTACAGAAGGTGATTTTAATGAATACAAGAATTTGCATTTGTTTAATTGTTTAATACACTGTCAGCGTGGGGTGGTAAAATAAGATATAGAACAAATTAAAAAAGAAAATGCCCCTATGAATAAAATTCGACAAAAAAAAAATTACTTAAAAATTATAAAATAGACCCAAACATAGGAGCTTCTAAAATGACAAAGTACCCAGTCATTTTGTTAACCAACAGTAATTGTTTCAGAGTGAGCTATGTCCTACCACCGAACCTCCTTGTCAAAAAAGAAGCAATAACACTAGGGCAATAAAGAATTCTGTACTGCAATATACAAAGAGGTGTAACGCTTTAACCAGATATCGGCACTTAATTTATTTAGTGACAAGAAAGACCCTTTTATTGTTGGGTTTTTATTGGCTCCTTTTTGCAACTTAAAAGGTGGGGGTGGGTGCATTTTAGTAGTGTAAGGATAACACACACACAGCCCATGCAAACACACATTTACACACAAGCAAAGACGCCTTCATTCTCATATATATGTATATATATATATATATATATATATATATACCTGAAAACAAACTCAGCCTCTTTTTTCTGTCTTTCTCTCACTTACACACACACACACACACACACACACACACACACACACACACACACACACACACACACACACATCTCCTTCTCTCCCCACGCGCGCACTTACACACATTCTTTCTTTTTTTTTCTTTCACTCACGCACACACAAACAGACACACTGTCCATGTGCCAGCGCGAGCTGCCCTACTGTGGGACGCGGGGATAATTAATGCGGAGTGACTGATTGCTCTCGAAACAGACCAGTCCCGCGAACGGCATTGTCCGTGATCAATGAAGCGTTTCTGATTGACACTTTCCCTCCATCTTCCAGCCACATTCAAACTACCGGAACGGGGCGTTTGTCACCAGCGTATAGGCCAAGGGGTGTGCAGATACCCAGTTATTGTCAGGCCTATAGTTGCACACCAGTTTTAGTTAGTGCGGGATCCCATCGCCTGCCTTTGGCCAAAAATAACTCAAAAGGTACTCCTAAATTCAGAACCCACTCTGGTGCGAATAAACGGTGCTTACATGCGCCTACACGTCCATGTAGGTTAGGGGATTTTATGTACGCGTCCGTTGGATGAATCACTGTGACAATGTACTCCATAGCTGGTGTCGAGGATGGAGCATGTTCAGTCAAGACGTTCATTCGCTCACAGCCCTGTAAAACGCCCAGAGATGTCCACCAGGGAAACGGCACGAGAGACATGATTTTAAAACATCCACTGCAGGCATATGCACCGAACAACATAATTAATTAATACTGTGTAATTTAACATGAAGGTGAACACGAAGTGTAAAATTGCAAGTTAATATTGAACAAAACAATAAGATCAACATTTGTTTTGCTTAACTGAATTTCATAGAAAAATCAAGAAATCAAAAACTATTTTCAAATGAGTCCACACCGGCGTCTGAATCCAGATGAAGCTGAATTGTATGGTGACCTCTCCTCTCCTTTTGATGATTAAGCTAGATTTCAGCATGCGCTGACTTATACATGGAGCTACAGTTTTAAATATTTTGCAACATCAGAATTGCTAAATTCTTGTGAAATGACTTGGCCTCTGGTGTGTCAGGCAACAGGGACATGCACACACAGCTTGGACAAACGGTTTTTAGACAGTCCAATGTGTGCCGTACTACCACACACATCCGAAAAGGGAACTTGTATCTAAAGCTATGAAATCATAATTAAGATTTTAAATGCACAAAACATTAAATGATTGTGTATTTAGCTCCGTTGTCCCCGATTGAAACGTTAATACTGTCGATGACCAGAAGTTTACAAGGAAGAACCATGCGATTAGAAACTTGCTGCATATTTGATTTTAGTAATCCAACACGATTGGGTAATGATAAGACAGAGTTAACATAATTAAATCTCTACATAACAATACATCAATGAGAATGTAGACTCTGACCCTAACCCTAAAACCGAAGTAGGCCTATACTTTGGGTTCAAGTGGTACAGGCCCAGGGATAAATTGTGATTGACAAAATAATACTGATAATAAAACTAATAATACTCATAATACAACAAAATCTAAAATAAGACTGGATACCGACTTTGTCCTTTTATAAATTCCAGGGAATGGCGTTATCGATAGAAAAAGCCCATCTGTGTCCAATTAAGGGAAGTACTGCTTCACCCCCATAAATGGCACAAACCTACCTCATTACGACCTGTTTTATTGTAAAAGCTAGAAGTCAAACCATAGAGGTAAATAAATGCAACAAAATAAAAAGCACTTAAAGAAAGTTGTTTTGATGTTAAAAGAATAAACTCAAGAAACTTTACGCTATTACTCTACCTTCTTATAGGTCTTTAGAAAAACAGAAGTACAAAAACACAAGTAAATGTATGCCGTTGATATGCACCAGTTTTTAACTGACCCATTTACTGACAACCCCACCCCCCATAGTGCTTCATTAATGAGATTGTCTTATAAATACCTCAGTTAAAAAATGCTGTGGTAATTCCTAAAATGTCTCCTTAAAGCTTATCTCCCAAATTTAACGTGACTAAATAAATTGAATATTAATCGGATGAGTGGTCTAATTACTAGAAAATTGGAGAATAATATTATTAATACCAATTTCAAGTAATCTCATTGGTGTTCAAAATACGAGAAACAAAACTGTAGCCTATCCTCATAGAGAGGAATGACTGTGAGACGTTATATTGTTCTCCATAAATTTAAAACCAACGCAGTACATTTATAATTTTTTTATATATTATGTTTATTCGTGTGAGAGATGTAGTCACATAATGCAGTATGATAAGTCTACAGTGCTTTCTTATAATGAGTCTGTATTCAAAGATTCAAATAAATCCTAAAGGAGACGGCATTTTCCTAAGGATTGTCAGTGGACCACTCGGTTTTGACATGGGACGTAGAGCCTGTCTTGATCCGAATGAAGCCTATACCGTGTCTGCAGGGTATAGGCTACACTTGCAACACATCCTGGTGTGTGTTAAATCTTCAGTTTCTTTCATATGTATGCGTTCAAAGTGTTACAAGTTATTATCAATCAAAGACACAAGTATACATCACGTCCCAGTGTTCCTCACTGAAAGCCCAGGCCCTTGATACATGTTAATTTATTATGG